AATATAGGTCCTAGGAGTCAAAGGATATGACTACTAGGTGCCGAGGACACCCAAAACTAGAGCGGCTCGCCGTGTATACCCTTCCTATCCCGCCCGGACTGTCTGTTTCTCTTATCTCATCGTATTTCTCATTACTCAGTTCCACCCTGTCATGTACCTCTCTATTTACTATAAAAGACCACGTAGAACACACCCTACAGCAGTTCATTCGTGCCCCAGTTCTTGCCTAGGCGGTTGCCAACAGCATTTGCTTGTCCAAGGGCCTTGTGTTCTCTGTATCAGCGCAGAGATTCATTTATAAAATCTATCCTCCTGTGTAGATTCATTAATAGGAAGTTCAATTGTTGGCTACTTTGTGCTTTAAGGTCATCTAAGCCCCTAATGTGTTGTGGTCCTGCTGCAGCAGTTTGTATTCAAAGGTCCCTTGTTAAGGGGCAAGGTCAGGCATTGGAATCAACCCCATTTAGCAGGTTGGTCGTGTATCGAACGAGCCATTGGAATCAGCCCCATTTAGCAGGCTGGTGGGAGATAACTCTTGGAATTAACCCCGTTTAGCAGGTTGGTCGGAGTTCCCAGACCCCTAGGCCCCATTGTTGGCAGTCCTACGACACTTTATTTCTCTCCCACCCCCACATTCCGTGGCCCGGGAACCCCAAGTTTGGTGGTTTGCAACTACTGGAAGCTCCTAGGACAGTTCTATTCGAACATCTTTGAGTTGATCTCTGTCCCAACGCCCCTCGAGGAGTTCAATCTTACCTGTATACTTCAGGACGACCCGAACGTACTTGTTAGCACTTTGTATTGGTTGTGTTGTTGGTGTGTGTGTGTTGGTTGGTTTTGATGTCTGTTTCATAGCAGCATCTCAGTCAGTCCTAGGCACGGCCATACTTAGGTGCACCGTTTCAGCGATACACTGTGCAAAAATTCATCCCTTTTTACAGGGTTTCTACACACAACTTACAACTGAATTATTACTTCTGGTTTACATCTCCGATTTTTTGCTGACAACTAACAGGTAGCTTACAGGGTTGCAACTCGAAATTGGATCACATCATTTTTGGCTATGCCATATGTTCGGCAAAACCAGAGAATTGAGCCCTCTGTGTCCTTTTGTGTCCGGAGACTCCTCGGATGGCTACTGTAAGGTTAATAATGATTACACACTCCATTAGGTGCCTTCGTAGAACATCTGGAGTGTAAATCCACGAACAAAGGACAATTCACGGTTATATGTTGCAATTCGCACTTCCACCCTGTGTGGAGTCAGAATATTGCCCGTGAAGCGGAGCTCATGGCCAAATGACCCATTCACAGCGAAAATTGACCAGTTTCGAGGGGACCGAAAATGAATCTGAAACCTATTGTTTCAGTAATCAGGTCACGTGAACTCCTATATAAGGCAAATCACATGACCCGGCTACTGAAACATTAGGTTTCAGTTTCATTTTTGGCTGCACGTAAACCGGTCGATTTCCGCTGTGATTAGTGATGTTTGAAAGAAAATGTCAGATTTTCCATCCACTACACCTTGACATATTGAGTAGTTTCTACATCGGGACTTCTGGAATAGCATCACTGTTGGTATTAGTCCCATCATTCTGGGCGAAATTTCTCAAGACCAAGTCCCAAATGGATGTGATGGAGCTGCATATGTATTCTAACAGTCAGTCACCAATTTGGGTGAGAGATGCATGCACACATGAAAAGATGTTAGCAGTTTCACGGATTGGTGCAAAGTTGTAAGCCAAATCCCAGTTTCCAGCTGACAGATGTAATCAGATAATTTTTGCACAGTATATGTGCCATAGATCTCTAGGACTCGCCCAGATCGGAGATAGATTCCACATTGAATTTGAGACATCATGTACGAAAAGCAGCTGTGCTGCTGCTACATCCAACCACATTCCATCGAGTCTGAAGGAGGGAGACCTCGGTTCGACTCGGTCGGGTGATGTGTTTGTATTTCCAGTTACATTTTTTTTCCTTCAAGCCTGAAAACGAGCCAGTGTTCAACTGGCCTAAGTTAAACTATGCTCACTGCCCGCCAAAAGGCATTAAACCAGGTACTGTATAATTACATTCAATTCGACCGGGGGGTGTGACACGTGACCTAAATCACCAGTTCGACCATTTGATCAGGGCCGAAATTTCGCGTGACAGAACCGAAAATTTCGACCACCAGAACAAAAATTTTCAAATTTATGCATCACGGAGGATTTTGAGCAGCTTTGACGCCTGCGTGACAAAAATTACATTCGACCAAAGGGTGGGTGATATGTGACGAAACACCAATATTCGCCATCGACCAAGGGGGGAGTGTCGCGTGATGGTCGAATTGAATGTAATAATACAGTACATCGGAGGGAGGCTATCCACTCGATAGCACATCTGCCCACCTTTGACGGTGAAACATTGGAACTTGACAATGAAAGATTTGTGCAAAGGTCCCCGTTCGACTCGGGATCGGGTGATCATGATGGCGTCGGATATAGTTCAAGTTTTCTTTATTCTTTATTCCTCCTCTTGGTCCTGCCCAGACAGTCACTAATGCTCGCTGCCACCCACCCTGAGTAGTTGAATACCGCTAATGCATCAGTTTTCATCTTGGTGCATGTTGAATTTCCAATTTCCAACCATGATGTTCAACCCGAGGCTGAATCGGCTGAGTATTATTCAGATCTGAAGGGGAGGAGTAAAACCCGGTAGCATAAGGTGTGCTTCTGCTCTTCTTATCAACAGTCACAATGACTATGCAGGAAATCCCCGTTCGACTCAGGGTCGGTTGATGTGCCGTTGAGTAAGAATCAGTTTTTTCTGTCTTTCGATTCCTCTTGGTCCGGGCCCCAACCAATCAAGCAACCACGCAAACTTCATTCACCTATACTGACCAGCCCCATGAGTCCAATCCCGCTCATACATTGCTTTCATCTCAGTGCCGTATTGAATATGCAATTTCCAAACTTGAACTTCACCCGCATTTAAATTTGCATCAGCATTGAAGGTATCAGCCCCATCTTCACAGGAAGAATAAAACTCGGTAGCACAGAGTGTGCATCTGCTTCCCTTGAAGACTGAGAACCTCGCTGATGCAGAAGGTCCCCGTTCGACTCTGGGTCGGGTGATAGCACTTGAAATTACCATGCTTCTTTTTTTGTGATCTATTGCGCTCCTTCATCATCTTCTTCCTCAAACTCTGCTCATCGCCTCGAGAAACGCCTCTCACTCAATCCCAACCAATTCCTCTCTTGAGTACTCACCCAATTTCCCCTCTGAATACTTCTTTTCCCTGCGGGATACCTCTTTAATTCCTCTCAAATTCATGAATGATTTCAGTACTCATGGTTGAACAAATCTGCGTTGAAAGTTGCAGATGTTATGAGGCAGGGTGGAGGGGTATTAACACCCGGTCGCACACGGCGTGCCTCTGCGTAATTTAAGAGGGAGTTCAAGCTTAGTTGCTATGCAGTAGATCCCCGTTCGACTCGGGGTCGGGTGATAGGTTCGTATCCATTGTGCCTTTTTTCCTTCAGGTGGACCCATCTCCAGCCCACCAAGCAGCTCACTTACTTTCGAAAACACCCCCGAATGTAATCATCCACTACACCGCTCCTCACGGTACCATGTTCAATGTCGGAATTTCAACCACGATCTTCGACTCGCGTCGGAATCAGCTAAGTATTACCCCCGTCCAAAGAGGAAGAGAAAAATCCGGGAGCACACCGCGCACATCTGTTTCCATTACACGAGAAGGAAAACTATGATGCAGAAGGCCCCGTTCAGCTCGGGGTCGGGTGATACATGTATCCAATTACAGTTTTTTTTTCTTCAGGCGGACCTCTCAGCCAAACCGATCCAACCAAGGATCTGAACTTCACCCACATCCGCACCCATCACGTTTTATTTCCAAATTCCAACCATAGATTTCAACCTGAGGCTGAATCGGCATTGAAGGTATCACACAAGTGACACGTCCGACGGGTAACACCCGGTCACACACGGCGTGCATCGGCTCTCCTTGTTTGAGCCGTGATCGCTGGGCAGAAAGTCCTCGTTCGACTCGAGGTCAGGTGATATGGCATGTAACCAATCACGGTTTTCTTTTTTTCAGGCATCCCTTAAGCCAACAAGCAGCTCACGCATTCTCAACCACCCACAAGTTCAATCCCCTTACACGCCGCTCATCGCGGTACCATGTTGCATTTTCCAAGTCCAATTCCAACCACGATCTTCAACCCACATCTGAATAGGCTGAGTATCACCCGCATTTGAAGGGGAGGAGTAACACCCGGTAGCACATTGCGTGTGTCTTCCCTGCATTGAAGTTTGTTGTCGACCGTGTGCAGAAGGCCCCCGTTCGACTCGGGGTCGGGTGATGGCGAGGTCTGCATACTTCAACTTCTGTCCCGCTTTCCTCCTGATCTCTGTGTGAAGGGCACAATTTGTTGTAAATACTGTCTGTCTACGAGTGACTAAGCAGGACTAAGCCATTGTGATCTTTCTTCGACTCTTCAAAGCCCGGACTCGACGCGCTCGGATTGGAGATACTTGAATTCTTTGTTGAATGTGGGACACCATGTAAGAAATGCAGCTGCACTGCTGCTGCACATTGAATGAGGTACGCCGCAAGGAGGATAACACCCGGTAGCACACGGTGTGCATCTGCTCCCACTAGTGTCAAAATTTCTTTCTTCTGCAGAAGGCCCCCGTTCGACTCGCGGTCAGGTGATGATTTAACACAATCGGCGGATTTTTTTCATTCCTTCCATTGAAGTTCAACCATCTTATACTATATCAAAAATTGGACCGGCAACTTTGATTTACATGTAAGCTTCCGCACTCTAAATCGATTAAGAACGAACAATGGTCCACGTAAGTGTAGAAAATAGGCTCACACCGCATCCGCGTTTCCTCTTGCAGGACACCTTTCCTCGCCAGCCGTTGAACATTCGGTGTATCTAAAAAAATCCCGCAGCTAACAGGGCAAGATAGAGGGGCATTAACACTCGGTAGCACATGGTGCGCATCTGCTCCTCTTAGTCAAATCCCGGGTTCTCCAGAGTATGCAGAAGGTCCCCGTTCGACTCGGGGTCGGGTGATGATTCCAATCTGAGACAACTCGGGCATTTTTTCCATTCCTTCCCTTGAATTTGAACCGTCCCACATCCAAATAATTCGACCGAGCCACTGGCACACTCCATTCGCGCATACGTTGAACTTGCAGGATCACAGACAGATATAGCGAGGACGAGCACTGGTCCTGGTCTATGTAAATGCAGAAAATACATTTGGCTCGAGGTCCCGGAGATCTAGACCCTTTGGGTACAGTATGTGTGGAATGTAAAAAAGGAAGGGAGGGCAGTAGACTACGAGCGTTCAATGAAGGAAAACAGCAAACATCACGATCGCGACGACTCGAGAAAATCGTGGCTGGAACAAAAGCGAGTCGCAACGGATCGAACGGCTCCACGTCCATTAACTCGAGTACGCCGTGCAGGAGAGCGTCTGCGACGAAGCGCAAGAACAGCGTGCCCCTCGCGAACCTCCCCCGTGTCCAGCGCATCGGTGGCCATCGGGACACGCGCGGCCAGAAATCAAAACGAGGCGCCTGGGTGCGGTACGACCGGCGGCGCATTCCACGGCGGAGCACACCGGCCGCACGTAATCGTGCGACGCGCAATCGTCTCCCCGCGTGGCCTACACCCGCCGCCCGCACCCTATAGCTCGAAAGATCCCCGCCCAACGACCCGGCACACGCGAAAGTATACACAAAAGCGGGGGGAAGGAAGGAAAAGAGAAGCGAGAATGCACCCGCGCCCGCATCGCGCCCCGCCATCCCGCCAGCGCGACTCTGACGTACGCGGCCCATGCGCCATCTCGCCATGTCGAGTCTCGACTCTGACTCTCGCGCGCCACCTCGCCTCGCGCGCCACACGGGCCCGTCCAGCTCGAGTACCTACGGGACACGCGTCAGCGAGCAGCGCCAGCGTCAGCGCGCGTTAAACGTGAAGCGCCAAGCGTTAAACGGCAGTCAAAGGAGAAGGCGGTGCAGACGAAGCCACACCTGGACGCGCAGACGCGCAGCGCCTCCAACACCTCCAACGCGCCCCTCCGCTCCTGCGCGGAGACGATTCCCTCTCCGAGCGAAGCCGCTCGCCTGGGCATCGACGGCCCCAGCCGCAGCCCGCCAGACGAGCCGCAGACGGGCGCAGCATCCGCACTCCACCGCACCTGCACGGCCCATTACCCTGCTGCAAACACCTGCTCGACGGCACCAACGCAGCGCCGCAGTGGGACCTCGCTCGTTCCGGACGGGTGCTCGTGGCTCGTGCGTCGCGCTTCGCGCATCCATCGCACCCAAAGCCAAAGCGAAAGAAACAGAAATGCACGGTGTAACTTGCCCATCATCCCCCTTGCATGCGCCCGAAATCTTCTACGGGCGAAAGCTCGTCTGTCGCGAGACGCGGGAGGCGGCGCGGCCTCGGAGGTGGGTTAGCGAGGTGTACGAGGAAAGAGAGTGGGACGAGGAGGAAGCGGGAGATCCGGGATATCACGGAGGGACGAGTAGGGTAGCAAATCGAAAGGGAAGATGCATGGGCGCGATCGATGGGATTGGATGGAGTTGGATGGGGAGGCCAAGCAAAAAACCCGCCAGAAAAGAAGAGCGGTACACAAGGGTACACACCTTTAAAAGCTCAAGCGCATCCCTCCCTGGCATTCCTCCGAGCCTAACATCCGTGCGCGCCGTACCGGAGTTCGTAGGCGGTGGATGACGCGGTGCGCGAGGCGAAAGTGAGTTTGAAGTCGCGTCCGGTGTAGAGGGCAATTAGGTCGTTTAGGACGAAGCTCCGTGTGGAACCTGGCAGGAGAGCGTTGGACGAAGCAGACAGCGGCCTCCTTCCACGCGCCCTCCGACACCCCTCAATATCGCGTCGCGCCTCCTCGGCTGTCATACAGCGGCTCCTTGAAATCCAGTCTGCAGGGCAGTAGGGTCCCCATCGTGCGGGGCGTCGGCGGGGCGTGGACGGGCAGCAGAAGACTCTGCAGCGCGAATAGTTGCGAGCGAAGCAAGCCAAGAGGTGAGTAACCGGAAGATCTTAAACCCCCTTCGCCTCCCCCACCTCACATCCTAAAAAGGAAATATGCCGCACAAATCATGATGAGATATCGCTTAAGCTCAGTCCGAGTAAAAACAACGAATGAGGCGCGGGGGAGACCCCCGCGGACCTCCCCAATGCTCGCCGCAAGGCCCACTGCGTGGTGGTTCTGCTCGCCGTGGGGGGCCCACTGCGTGGAGCTTTTGTAAAAATATTCTCGCGTGTTGTGGGGTTTTTTCTGCTTTTTCAGGGTATGGAAGTCATCTTACACGGGGGAGACCCCCGTGGACCCCCTTGTGCTCATCGCGGGGCCCACTGCTTGGTGCTGCGCTCGCCGCTGGGCCCGCTGCGCGGCGCGCAAGGCAAAAAAAAAAGAATCTAAACGTGCGCAGTCTGGCTCGATCGCACGACATGAAAAATAAAAGTTATGTAGGGTTGCTTCAATGGAGAGTATAACCACTCAGCAAGGAGACCAATGAGCTCAGTGACAAACTGGTAGCCTGAAGGCATCCGCACCGGCCGAGACTTCCTTTCTCGGCTTATCTTTGATATCATCTTATCTTTGCCCAAATAAGGCAAGTCAGAGTGGGGGAGGCGTGGGCCAGTTGAAGATCTTGTCCTCTGATGTGGCCACGCGAGCGACAGATTTGTAATATCCGAACATCTCGCTGAGTCGGCATCAATCGGCTTCTCGGCGTCCTACATACAAAAGAAATACAGCGCACACTCACTCGCCTTCTTAGCTCGCAAAACATAGGATTAGTAGATTACAATCATTACTATTATGTGAATACATCTGCCCCGGAAGTGGCGCGTGGCTCGGAAATCGTGGTCGGAACTTTGTCCTTGCAGGACGAAATCCGACATGAAGAGGTCCCATACATGAGGGAGCCGGGGTCGCCAGTTAGGATGCCCAGCCGGGATCAAGCCGGGATCGACAAACGACCGTCCAGTCGGACGATGTACCGAGTCCTGTCAACGAACGGCGCAAACGGCGGCATTGCGTGCTGACTGGTGTTGCATTTATCATGGACTTGCTACCCAATCTCACCGGGGAGGATATACCAAACAGGGAAGCAGGAAGATGGGAGAAGGGGTACATCCTAGTCAAAGGCGGTACATTGATGGGAATAGACCGTGTTTGACCTCAAAGGCGGCACTTGCCTTCTTCGGATGTCGCGTACCTCGGCAAACACCATCTGGGCAGTCGACACGTGCCACAGGTTTTTTCACTGCTGCTTTCCTTCTCCCCACCACCATCCCCGCTTTTGCACTGCGACGGGCGCGTCAAAATGGCCATCAACGGTGTTGAGAGATCAAAGCACACTGCTGCCGACCTGGAACTCCTCGATGGCCTTTCGGCGCGACAGCTGATGGACTTCCGGAACCACGTACGTCACATACGTTGCGCGTACGACGCGTATATCGTCGCGGTATACTGAGGTGTCACACCAGATGTACAACCCCGGCTACATCGCAGCGAATGTCGGGATGTTCCTGGACCATGAGTGGATCGACATCTGCAGTCTGAGACAGCACCTCGCAGTCCCAGTGCCATGCGCCAGTCTGGATGCGCCGTCAACGCGCCCAATTGTTCCTGATCCGCCATCCGGTGTCTGTCAAAATCGAAGCGCCACTGCTCCCGGTGCTCAGGGCTTCAGCTGTCGCGGTCAAAGCGGAGCCAGAAGTGCCGGGCTTGCCCTCACGGTCGGCCCCCATTAAGACGCGGGTTCTAACCGAAGGAGGCCGAGAGGTCCTAGAGCTTTTTTCAGACTCGGAACCGGACGCGTCGGGAGTAGAATCCGACCTGGAGGTGGTCCAAGCACTCAAACCGACCTCCCGGTCGCCCAGCATAATCCCTTTTGGTGTGCTGTTTTTTCTTTCTTCATATTTCCTCATATACTCATTATTCTGTTCTCCCACGTGCGCCAGATTTTATTCCTGGCTCCGACGACACCGAATCGGCAATATTTGGCGCAGCATCCAGTCCACGTGCGTATATTTACAATGTCATTGCTTATCGTGTCTGATGATCTTCCAGCCGAGGATTTTGAGGACCTCGATGATTTAGTTGAATCCGACACCGTCTGGCAAGATGACATCACGTCGCTTGTGCGCACCGGCAACTTCAAACTGACCCAGAAAGTTTCCGCACAGCGCATCAAGTATATTTCTGACCTCGCCTCCATTTATCCGATTATCCGTGACACCGTAATTGTTGTCGATCTCAGTGATCCTAAATATGACCTCGATAACATCAAAACTGGGGAGCCCTATACACTCGACCATCTCATTCGAAATGCAGTTCGTGGTTTTTTGGATTTAATTGCACAACTGATACCCTGTTTGTGGCAGGACAATGACTCGTGGGACGGTGCGGGCCATCAGGAAAAACACCCTTTACCAATTTTCAGAAATTTTGTTGACAATTGGCAACAAATTTTGAGAGAGTGCAATTTACAACAATTGTGAAGAAATTGGGACATTTTGTTCGCAAATGCGACAATTGATCCGCATCAGCGGCTGTGTTGTTCTATTGTCACTCTCAACTTCCAGTGTGACCTCAGTTTTCAACGCTGCTGGAAGAGGTATTAGGCAATACCTGTGAATGGCACAGTATGGAACAGCACATATATTGAGTGCCACAGGAGTCCGAATGGCAATGGCACGACACCCGCCTAGAAACCAGAATTGTCCAGAAATGCTGACATTTTCCCAACATTCCGCACCATTTCCGGAGCAATCCCAGACGGCATGATCAAAACAGGCCTAGGAGGTGCAAGCAGGATGCATTCATATCATTGGTACTTGTGGGAGGGGGTTAATTGCTTGTGATGGGTAAAGTGAATTTCCCTCACTTTCTTCGCGCAGCTTTCTAAATTCTCTACAAGTCATTCAAACTCCGCTCGGACCGCTCCGGATGAAACGTTGATCGCTTGCTTCGGTGAGTTCGCCGATCAAGTGTCGATCAGGAGTCACACAAAGCCAAATGTTGATGAGGC